TGCACACCGTCACATTCTGGGGCAATGCCAATATTCAAAAATAATAACTTGGCCCATACCTACCCTGCACTGGACAGCAACACATTACATGAATATACATTTATGAAACTCTCTTTCTTTTAAATTCATGACTGAAAAAACTGTCACATAACCAGATTTCCTACAGTTGTACAAGAGTTAGCATCACAAAACAGATTTCTTGGGATTGCACTGGAAGGTGGATGAAGTTCAGCAGTGGGATTCTCCAAAACTGATCAAATTCAGTGGTGGGATAGCCTGAGCGAAAATGTTTGTTTTCTGTTTTCCTCTGTTTTCTGTCTTTACAGAGAACTTGGATTTATTAAAAAAAAAGTCACAAGGCCATGCAGTATTTTATTTTTTTTAAATCTTTTCAAATGACGTGGGTATTTGTTATGCACGGCTCAGTGTGCACATCTACCATCTGGTTATCATTTTTCTATCATCCATATTAAGCCTGCTCTTTCCTCTTGCATTCATCCCTAGCAAGCAGGCTCACCCACCCTCATATAAATTCAGAGGAGACAGAGCAGTCTCTTTTGTAGGTGCGTTTGCTCCTTCAGTTGCTTTTAACAGTTTTGTTCATTATTACCTAAGCTGGGAGTTATCAGCAGCCCTGTTTCAGTTTTACTAGTTTATTAACATTATTTTTAGAAGATCAACCTGAATCCGAACCAGCCCACTGAGTGGTCGGTTCTCGGTCTTCCTCCTCTTGTTTGTTTTTGCGTTGGCTCCAGTTCTTCTCATTTGTATTCGATCTTTGTAAGTAATTATTTTTGAATTATTAAAAGTGCCTGCAACTGCAGCAGCTTTGTGGCATCTTGTGTATGTTAGGTTCCTTTGATTTGGGAGACTAACATGCATGTTAGGTTAACTGACGGTTCTAAATTGGTTGTAGGTGTGAAACTGTGTTTGTGTCTTTGTGATAGCTTCGTCATAGACTGGTGACCTTTTAAGGGTGTGCCCTCCCTCTCACACTGTTACAGCTAAGATAGGCTCCACCCAAACTATAACCCTGAATTGGACAAGTGGAAGAAAACTGAGGGAAATAGGGTGATTTTGTCTTTAGTTCATAGTTATTGCAAAGATGTACCTTTGCTGGTCTGTTGGGTTCTGGATGATGGTCTTCTCTCCATCTATGACATGTTGCTTTAACTGATGAGACAGCATACCTTTAAAACAAAGAGATGGGCGGAACCCATAAGCTTAAAACATGAACTGTTTCCATGAAAACATTCCCATACATCTCATTAATCCCACACATCATCATCTTGTTATGTGAAGACAGACAGCACATTAAAATACAAAGGTTTTTATAGGAACTCACCCTCAATAGGTGTGCACTTGAACGACTGTGCGATCTTGTTCCAGGCTTCTGTCACTTGAGTGTTCTGAGGCAGAGAAAATTAATTACTTTCACATCCAAATTACATCTTTGTACGAGATAACCGTTAAAATACATGTGAGACTGCAAATAAGTTTACACCTAGTTTGTAGCAGAACTAGTCTATGATGGTATTCGAGCCAGAAAAATGTGGACTAAAGAGTAGCAAAGAAGCACTACTGGAGCGAATTACACATCCATTAATTTTCTTCCACTTATCAAAAATGCATTAAAAGTAAGATCTGTGCCAAATTAATAATTACAACAAGTCATTTAGATGTTTTGATGACTAAAGCACACCCCTGCAGAGAATATTAGTCCTGATCACAGCTGACGTGGAAAAGCCTCATGAAACACTCAAACATACCTGGTTACCAGGTTTCACGAGGCGTAACGCTGCTTCTGCGCATAGATGAGCTGCTTTGATCACATCAGCTTTCCGGCCTGTGACGGGGTTCTCCTGCATATAGAAAAACAAAAAAAGACAACTTCAGGACTCACATGAGATGATACAAAACTGTGACCAAGGTGTGATATGTACACGTGTCTGCTTTTTTGTTTTTTCACCTTACTGGCTCCCACGATAAAGCTGTGAGCAACATTGGCGATGAAGCCATCAACATGAACTCCGAGATCGCTACACAAAATCAGAAGGAAAAACGAAAGAATTAACTAACTGTAGGATACAGATCATGCCTTTAATTAAGTGCTACCCGGCTGTCAAATGTACTAGTACTGATGCAGGAAGCAATCAGATCAAATCTACTGGGAAGGACAAAAGATCGTTCCACTTTGGAAAATTAGCTTAGTGAGGACTACAATAATAAGAGAAGGTCAGACAAAAATACACAATTTAATCTGCAATAAATGGAAGCTATAACCCAAGGTGAGTTTCTTTTTTGGCAGTAGATCAGCTGGAATATGGTGAAGGACTTATTATGAATTCAAGGCAACAGCATTACCGACTGTATTAAACTTTCCAGACGTGCCCAGCAAAGAGGTTAGCAAAGTGAGACACATTAAAAAAAACAAAAAATATAAAAACCACATCACGACACTTGAAGAAACATCTTTACAACACTGAATATCCACACACAGCACAAAGACGTTACAGAGGACAAAGACATTAGTGGCAACGCGACAACTAAGATGAATCGACTTTCTTTTTCAAAGCCAAATACTGCATTTGAGAAACGTCATATATGGGATTTAGCGGATAAGATGGGCAGTAAAGCTAACATCCGGCATACCACCCGTTCTAAAAAGAAACCTTACTTGTCGTTTGCCACACACACAGCACACACAAGAGGCAAGACCATAGAGATGAAGGACACAATCAACAGCAAAGAGAAAGCGGAGCTATCACACAGAAAGTAGGGAGGACAATACATTGGGAGACTAGAGACACACGGGGAAAGGAGGGGGTAACATTATTACAGTGCATGGTGCCTACATTTTGACCAGATCCCCATCTTTAAGTGTGTAGTCAGGGTCACTCTTCAGGGGAGAGAAGTGGCAAACACAGTTATTGACTGAGACGCTGGTAGGAAACGCAATGCCTAGAAGAGGGAGAAGAGAACCACCAAGTCTTCATTTGGAAATTATCCACAAATGTAATCAAGAAAGCCATACAAGAATGGAGTATGGAGGAGTATATCACTTAGAAGATCTACTCTGTCACCATGCTAGTTTTTAAAGCCCCTGCTGCCATTCGAGTTACTCGATGCTGTGCGAAATGGCACAGAAAACACTGCCAACAGTTTGTTCTACTGGATCTAATTTCCTTGATGTGTCCACCTCAGGAAAAAAAACAAAAAAAAAAAAAAAAAAAAAAAAAAAAACCAAAAAAAACAAAAAAAACAGACAGCAAACAACAAAGAGCAACATAATAATAGAGAAAACAAAGCACCATCACAATAAACTAGCTAGTCATAGATAT